ATATATATATATAATTCCTCTGTATTTTTTAATTAAATATATTATGAATAATAGTATTTTATAATACCTTCTGAACGAGCATGACAAAACAGCAAGTAAGAAGTAGGAACGATAATGGACATGAATATCTACAAATTTCAATTTGAAGCTAAAATATCCTTTTTAGACAACAGCTCTATATTAATTGGATATACTACAATAACTTAAAAAAAACAACACTCAAGAAAGCGAATGATTTCGATTGAAGTTATGATTACATCCCTGATGCAATTGTACGATACGTCTTATTCATATTCGATTTTAATGGAAACTCATTTGTGCATGTTATCCTTTTTTTGTAAATAATTTTCCTCGATACATTTTTTTCTAAATTATATGAATTGATATACTTATCGCTGATCACGAAAGATTAACTGCTAATCACTCAGTCTTCTTTTAATATAAAATCATGATTTTGAATGAACAAAAAATCGTTAAATAAGCACATTTGTTTTTGCATAACGAGATATTTTTTGTTCCTTTATTTGCGTATCAATTTAAAATTATCCACGTCATCCGGCTTTGATTTCCCGAAGTTTTCTTTATCGTTTTTCATCGGTCTAAGATACTGTGACTCATGTTTTAAGAAAACAACTTTTTCTTAAATGCATCCCGAAGATTTCTAACAAGAATATATCTGTAACGTAGGCCGATATTTATAGTCTGTTCTTATTTCGAGATTGTCTTAAGTAATCTCAAGCTACTAATACGGTGCTCTGATCGGTTTGTATCATCTTAAGACTGTACTTAAATATAATTTATCATGAATACTGCCCGTAGAATTCCCGGACATAACTTGAAAAAAATTTTATTTTAAACATTTTATTATTAAAAATATTTAGTAAGATAATAAGATCTCTCTCTTTGTTGTACACTCATATACAGAATAAGCCGTTTCATCGCGGCAAGGTGAAGATTATCGGATGTGTGTGAAGCTAGAGTCTCACTTGGTGAAAACTCATAAAATATTGAGAGTTTTGAGTTTATTTTCAATATTTCTATAATTCTATATAGGTTAAACATTTCGACCATTAAAGCCGAGAAACCGAAAATGTAAACTGAGACGCAGTTTCACACAGTAACTTCGTCTAACGAAACAAAGTTGCCGTTACATGAGAATTATCGTAGAACTATCAGAACTCTTTAAAATGCAACAGCATCTAATTTTCGTTTCCATTTTTTAGGGGGGAAAATTGTTTAAAAATTAAAATAATGTTAATTGTCAGAACTCACTTTACAACTATGTATCTTTTCAAATCCTACAAGAAAATTTGGAACCTTTGTTAAACAAAGTTGGCGCTGCGAGAATTTATTTCATTTTGCATTTTCGGTTTCTCGATTTTAGTAGTCGGAATTATTTATTTAACTTATATAGAACTTATATAGAACTATAAAACTATTGAAAATAAACTCAGAATTCTCAATATGAATTTCCATCAAGTGAGGCACTACCTTCATACACGATTATCAGAAAGGTTTTTTTTTAATTTTTTGTCTTTTTAAGTTTTTTATTTTTTTTACGTCTTTAACTTTTTTTGAATTTTAAAAAATTTTTTATCTATTTTATTTTATTGTAGTGTATTTAAGAAAGATTTGTGGTCTAAACACAAGTATGAATAAAACAATGCGTATACAATATATGCAATGTTAAATAAAAAAATAATACAATATTAAAATAAAATTTGTTAGCATTTGTTGTATTGTTTTTATTGATTTTTTTCTGTAATGCTCTGATCTTGACAACGCCACTTAATAGTTCTATCTTATGTGCCCTTTGAAGTCACAAAATTTTTGTCTGAACATATTTTTCATTTTTAACACTTTCAGAGATAATAGTTTCTATCACTTTAAGTGTGTCACATTATATATAGTGTTTAAAATAAAGCATTACAAATTTTTATCTTGAAAACAAAGAGCATTTTAGAAAAAAACATTTTATACAAAAGTTTTGTAATTTCGAGGATATGAGATATCATTGGTTTGAGCTTGAATGGCATTGTCAGCGTTAGAGCAGTCACAGAATTTTTTGAATAATACTCCATTTTGTATTACATATTTTTGTAATTTATCTCGAGAGCTTTCCAAAACTATTATGAAATATTTTTTCAGTGTTTTGAAAAGCTCTTGACACCAGCTATTGGATTCTGGCATCAGAAATAGGATGTTCCATTAAAAAAAATCGATTTAATCTTGATCTGATCTTGACAATGCCTTGATATTACCCAAAATCAAACTGATAAGATCTGTAAATAGATCTTTTTATACCTGACAATTTTTTAAAACATTTCTTTTAAAAAGAAAACATTCTTTTGAGTAAATCCGGGTCTCGACTTTTTTTGAACATCCTGTGTGTGTGTGTGTGTGTGTGTGTGTGTGTGTGTGTGTGTGTGTGTGTGTGTGTGTGTGTGTGTGTGTGTGTGTGTATTTAAAGGATGCACTCAAATCTCTCAGAAACATTATGTTAAATCGAAAAATGTTTTTTGACTTCGAGGAGGACATAAGATAGTGTTATTGATTTGACTTTAGTGGCATTATCGAGGTCAAAGCAAAATCACTTTAAATTTTTTTAAATGGAACTTCCTTTTTTTCATTACATGTTCTCGTAGTTTATCTCGAGAACTTTTGAGAACACTATAACAAACTATTTTTTCATTAAATACTTTTCTAATTATAAAGACTTGAAAGTTACAGTCGACATTAGTGTTACTCGAAGTATCCAACTGATTATTAAAACTTCTTAAATTTTGTTCAGGATTATGACCTGTATAACATTTGTCAAGATCAAGATTGGACATTGTCCTATTTTCATTTTTGCACTGAAAATTTATTTTTACGTAAAAATACTTGTTTTTATTCATATTTCGCTATGTAATACACAGGATATTCCAGAATTCACGTACACGAAGCGCGTGATAACATACGCCAACTTCATAGTTGTTAAGAATAACTGCGTTCAACAGAGGAAACTAATCACTAATGCTCTTAGTGATTTTTTTAATATGATTTGTTCTTGCCTTTAGTTCTTTGGATCTAAATATAGAAATCAATCATATTGAAGACTCACCCAAACGCTAACCGATTAGTTTTTTCTGCTGTAAAATCAAAGCTGAACGCAGCTAATAAATGCGCAAGTATTTATTATAAGCAACAATAGCACGAGTGAAAGAAACATCTCCCCGTTTTAGACGGTTGTATCTTGTTCGTTTCGCCGTGCTTGAGCTTGGCGGTAGCTCGAGTGAATACGCGAATTTGGATATTCTTAGAAATTAATATCTCATTAACGAATATCTTATTGCGAAAATTGCAAAATAATGTATAAAATTTTTCAACTCATTGTCAGTTTAGTTTGCTTTATCTGTCCATAAGCGGTGTTCCATCCACAGTCCAAGTATAAATAGACTGCCGACTTCGCCTCCATGTTTGAAGATAGCGCTAGGCAGCGCCATATTTGTGTTCACTCACTCTCATATGTATAAATCATACGGATAATAACGTTGATGTTTTCATATAAATTCACGCAATGTTCACAGATAAGACGCATACATACACATATATGAACTGAAACAAGAACAGGAATTAGGTTTATTTCTGTCAACATTGAATCAGCAATCTAGTTATAGAAGTCTGTAGTTTCATCTAATGTCAGATACCCTGTATAAGACATAATTAAAAGAATGGTTTGCTTTGATTTTACAGGTGGAGATGGAACGTATCATCTCAAAGTGTTGGTTCCCGGTGTGGCAGCCGGGGCCATTATCGGGAAAGGTGGAGATACAATTGCTCAACTTCAAAAGGATACAGGGGCAAGAGTGAAGATGTCTAAATCGCACGATTTTTATCCAGGTATACATTTAGCTTTCAGTGCATGTGTGTTCTCGTAGTTGCCTTTATTCGATTAATTATCGTTTCATTTGTCTATTACAGGAACTACTGAGAGAGTATGTCTTATCACAGGCACCGTAGATGCTATTATGGAGGTCATGGAATTCATCATGGATAAAATACGCGAAAAGCCTGATCTTACTTCGAAAACTACGGTTGACTTCGACTCTGGAAAAGCCACCGCAGAGAGGGACAAGCAGGTATAAGATTGAAATATTTTTACCGTAATATTTTTTTCCTGTTTTCTATTAAAACATTTTTTTATGTATGGATATATATTGGAGGATGTATATTTTTAAAGAAATACGAATTTGTTAATTCCTTTTTATATAAAAGTAATAGACATTAAAAATAGTTACAGACTTTGAAATAGCTTTTTTTTAGGCATTGTATGTTTAGAATATCTTCTAAAAATAATGCGAATTTGCTATTCAATATTAAAACTTTTTTATACTTTATTAATATATTATTAGTAATTTTTTCATCGGAAACAGTGGCATTAATAATATTTATTTAAAAAAATATGAAACTTAACAAATATTGTATGCGCGAATGACAGAAGCTGCTATTTTATTCTGATCTGCTATTTCAGGTTAAAATTTTAGTGCCTAATAGCACTGCAGGGATGATAATAGGAAAAGCTGGGAATTACATTAAACAAATTAAAGAAGAATCTGGCTCGTACGTTCAAATCAGTCAGAAAGCTAAAGACTTATCCCTTCAAGAACGATGTATAACGGTGATTGGTGAGAAAGAAAATAATCACAGAGCGTTACACATGATCTTAGCGAAAGTGGCGGACGATCCGCAAAGCGGTACCTGCCTTAACGTCAGTTACGCGGACGTAAGTGGTCCTGTTGCCAATTACAATCCTACAGGCAGCCCGTATGCTCAAGCTCCCACAAGCACTCCCACGTATACATCTACAGCTGGTCTAAATACAGGTTAGTACTTAGGTACTTATTTAAAGTGTCTTTTAATAATGCAATATTTCCTATGTAATAAGTACATTTGATTATTGTTATAGAACAGCGTTTTCGATTATAAGATTATTGTCTAATAACATAGATATGTAAGAAGCTTTATAAGTACACTTTTCCTTAATTTTTATTATTTAATTTTTTCAATGGCGTCACTTTTTGGAAAATTTTTTTTAGAATTCTGCACATATTTTTTTAAATTTTTTATAATTTTGATATAATTTTATAAGTTAGATTTTTTGTAATATACTTTTTAGAAATGTTAAAAAAGTTTATACCTTTTTCAGAATTTTTTGTACATTGCAGAAAATTGAAATTGCAACATTTAGAAGGAAATGTCATTTTCGGATCAAAATTTATAGATATGTTGAAGAAGGCAACGTGAATAAATGACTAAGCAGTAACTAAGAAATAATATCTAGTCTCATATCTATATTTCCGGATTTTACAGCGTAATTCGAAATTGAACTTTATGTGATATCAATTAGAAATCTTTTCTGTCAGTTGAAACAATTATTAGACTATTATGGTTTAGTTTTTTAACTTGTGATTAAGTTTAAGCTGATATTTAATGGGCTTCATCTATAATGTCATGGAGCCCATTGAATAAAATATCAAGTTAAGCTTAATTACAAGTTAACCAAATAATGAAAAACATCCAACGTGTGAACATTGTGTCCAATATCATCCTGTATGCTTTTTAACTTGTTAAAATTAATTTATAAAGCAAAGAAAATGAAGCTGTAGATATTATTTTCAAAACTGCAGGTACCACATACCACAGTTTTCATGAGTCAAGGATTACTAAAACTTGGATTTCTGAAACTTTAATAATTTGTTTATGTAATAAATGATATATAGAGTTTCGTTCTAATCAAAAGTCTATTTTTTGATGTTGCAGTTTCAATTTCCGACATTATAAATAAAATTTGGTGAATGTTGTAAGAAAGAAGTTTATCGAACTTCTTTCTTACAACATTCACCAAATTCTTGTTATTGCCACAAGTAACATATATGAATTTTGAAATAAAAAATTTTTTAAGATTTCTCATTCTATAATTCCCAAAAAAAATATGTGTTTAGTTTCTCTTTCTTTAATTCTAATACGTATACAAAGGAAAAATAAATAATAATCATAATATTTGTCATTTTTTGCTCTTTTTTTCTTTATTGTTATAAATTTAAATTGAAATGTAATTAAACGAAAAAATCATTTTTTTCTAACTTTACAAATTTATTCTTGAAAGAATTAAATAATTGCTGAGGCGAGAGAAACTGTAAAATTTGCAGTGTTCTCTAATTAAATGAATAAACTGTTTTTTATACATTTTTATGAAGCGATTTAAGATTTTATTTATCGATATATGAACGTGGAAAAGAAATCCTAATTTGCTGTTCGCTTCAGTCAATTTGCCAAGCTTGAACATCTATCGGATCTTTTTATAATTTTTACAATATAACTTTTAAATTATCATTGTTTTGCCATTTGTAATTAATAAATACGATGATTGCTTCTTTTATAGTGAGTCTCTTAAATGGCGCTGGTTTGAGTCTTAATCTAAATCTGGGCGCGGCTATCACCGCTGGCACGGCGCCGGTGACGACGCAGCTGTTGGAACATATAAAATTGAATCTACGTACGACAGGTTTTTCCGAGCCTGCTGCAACGGAGATACTTGCTGCGATCGCGACCCTCGCTAAGTACAATATCCTCGGGATGGGGATCGGGGTGCCGTCGAGTATGAGCTATTTGGGTAATCCGATGGACAGTACAACAACTGCTAACGGCTCGAACAACAACGGCGGTGTATTCGGACCGATCGGGACCGTTCCTGCGCTCGGATCTACCTCGCCGACTCCGCGCAACACCCTCGATCGGTACGAGCCGTTTGATCCATTCCGACAGAACAACACCGCCGCCAGTGCGATACACCTGAACAACAATTCATTCGGCCTGGGCACTAACCAGTTATCACTTGTAAGTAAGAGTCCTACACAGGTAGACGCCAACAACAAGGAGACCAAGAAAGTAGACATAGAAATTGCAGAGGTTATAGTGGGAGCTATTCTGGGACCCGGTGGTCGTGCCCTCATTGAGATTCAGCACTTAAGTGGCGCCAACATACAAATCTCTAAGAAGGGCATGTTCGCCCCTGGTACCAGGAACCGCATAGTGACTATCACGGGTTATCCCAATGCAATCAACACTGCTCAGTACTTGATCGAGCAGAGGATCAGTGAAGAGGAGGCAAAACGAGCGCGTCAGAATGCCATCGCCAGTATGATCCATTGATTTCAAGTATAGCACTCCTCTTGTTCATCGCCATTATTGAGCTCCGTTGTTCACCTCTTCATATCTTGAGAAAGGAGAACACGCCCGGCCACGACGGTTTTCTTCTTTCTTCTACTTTTGACACACCCACACACACCCACACACACACACACACACACACACACACACACACACACACACATTTCGTCCATCGCCAATTTACCGCCCACTGTCATCTATCGCGCTGCGTTGTCACTATAGCGCTTGCATTGTCACATTATTTACGTTTATACATCCATCATGGCTCGTCAACATTTATCTATTTTTTAAGATAGTTATGTGTGTGTGTATATATATATATAT